CCTACCGTAAGAACCCCAAAACCCCACTTTTTTGTAGGTTCTTATTATAAACCCTAATATGGGATTTATTTATAGGGGCCTTACATAAAAGTAGGTTTTGGGTTCTTAAGGTAAACCCCGAACGCTTGGACTCAACAGGGGCTCGGAGGTCTGTCCGAAAGGTGCGGGTCTCAGGGTTGTTGTTAGGGCTGATCCTTTCGGGGGGTTCCTTTCAGGATTACTAGAGTAGGGTTTAGGGTTTAGGGTTTTAAGGCTGCCATGCGCTCTTGACTGTACATTGCAAATAGCGGATTAACTCTGGCTGGCGCGTCGGCGCAGCTACCAGGTGCAATTTGAAAGCCCCGTTTGGTTGAAGCATCTGTTTAATGCCCAAGAAGTCCCTTCTGAAGTCCCTGTACTGTTAGGGGGCGGTGCGGTCGAGGTAATGATGGTAGATGGGTAGAGCACGTTTTGTAGTGAGTTCCAGCCAGCACCTACTGGGGTGTCCTCTATGTCGAGACTTAGTAAATTTAACCGTATCTTTATATCCTGGCGAAAAGGCCACGTGGTGTAGAGGGTCCGTCGGCGGTTTAGCCAAAATATCTGTGAGTTGTTGAAGCTGTCGTGTGAGAAGAGTTTGCGAAGGTAGGGTAGGGCGTCCCGAAACCTTCCAGACCCTTTCATTGGTTACGTGGGAATAATACGAGGCTTTAACACCTATACATCTTCGAAGGTACTGGTGGAACCAAGCATCGATGGTTTTAAGGTGTTTGTTTTCCAACGTGAGGACCTCTAGGCCGTATAACAGTATTGGGACGATGCTAGCCATAAAGAGCTTAGGCCGCACCATACGTTTGGAGCTTTAGGGAATCAATGGCAACTTTGCTGGGGTGTAGCCAGGAGACCTGGGATCCTAAGTATTTAGCCTCGTCGCAATTAACTACCGGTTCCCCGTTAACATAGCGCACATCTCCCGGTGGAGCTTGTGGGTGTGTGAGTAGTTCCGTTTTGGTGAAGTTGAGGGTGAGGCCGTAGAGAGAAGATTCTACCTGTATAGCCCTTAGAAACTCTTCCGCCTGCGGTTTGGTGACGGCTATCAATAGGGTATCATCGGCGTATTCCAGGTCGTAAACCGGTTTGCCTACTGACCATGTATTGGTAGGTACGCCATGTGTGCGAAGCCTTCGATCTACATCGAACATGAGAACCGTCATGACCATGATAAAAAGGTACGGACTAAGGGGGCATCCCTGCCGAATGCCGGTATGCGGTGTAGCCTGTGTTGTGCTGCCTTGCATGCCCAGTGTGTTAAAGGTTTGGTCCTGGTAAAGATCCCTGATAATGTCTACGTAGTGGCGGTGTACTCCGAGGCGTTCGATCGCTATGCACATCGATTCGTGATCAACTTTATCGAGCGCCATCTTCCAGTCGAGCAGTAAAACGTGCATCGGCTGCCCTGTTTTGAGCGAGTAATCCTGTAGTCGGCGAAGGATAAACAACGGTTGCAAGGTGCTGCGATTTGCTCTAAAGCCATACTGCGTGGTCCTAAGGTCTGCGTCGTGAGCGGCCGCCAGACGGCGTTGTAACGGTGCCGCGTATATTTTGTAAACTACATTCAGTAGGGAGATGGGGCGGTATGAGGCCGGATCTGAATCACTGCCTTTTCCCTTGAAGATACTGACAATGTTGGCTTCTTTCCAGGCCGCTGGGACAGATTTGGAGAGGAAACACGCGTTAAGAACCTTCAAAAGCTCCGCTTCCACGACGTAATCTAGGATCTTCAAGGATTCCGCAGTAAGGCGGTCTGGCCCTGGTGCCTTGTTACGTTTCAAGTCTTTGAGCACGTCCGTTAGCTCCTGTGTGGTAAAGGGAGTAGGGTTTTCCGTAGGGGGTGTAGCCAAGGAGGGGGATTCTTTCAAGAGTTGCCGCTCCTCTGTTCTGTGGTGACAGTGGTGGGGCCCCACTGCTGCTGACTAAGGAATTCCGCGAAAACTTTGTGGGTTTCCGACCAAGGGACTGGATTTCCGTTGCGTTTTAGCCTGGATTTGCGTTCTCTGAATCCTCTCTTGAAGGTTTTAACGGGTTTAGGGTTTAGGGTTTAGGGTTTAGGTAGAGTTTGGTGTAGGAGCCTCAATACCTCTCTATCCGTTCATAATAAAGGCCCGGAGGGACAGTATGACCAATTTGGTAGTTCTCTAAACTAGGGTCCCGTTTAGGGTCCTTTTCTTAATGGGTGCCGTACTATTTTGGTGGTCTAACAGGGGACCCTAACTTATGGAACTGACCAATTACCATCCCCTCTGGCTCAGAAACTACTCCCTTAGCGTTCACCCAAAAGAGTTCACATCTCTTCGTGACCCCATCAAGCCGTGTCTCCGCTCGGGCTGAAGCCTTATAAGTCATAGAACCGTTATAGCACCATTCTGTGCTTAGGGTTTAACCCCTGGTAAAACCCCTGTAGAAGCCTTTATGGAAGCCTTACAGAAACTGATTGAGGGCTCTTTCTAGAACCCTAAGCCCTAACGGCCCTAAGTGTTAGGCTTCAGGCCCCTTCCCCGGAAGCCCGTAGCCGGGAACCCGGCGCCGCACGGTTGGGAGCTGCGCGCGCCGCCTCACGGCCGTGGTGCAGATTTTGGGGTTTCAGCGTTGTCTGTTTTTGGAGGCCGGCCTCTCTCACTGCTAGGGTTTAGGGCTTGGGGCTCAGGCTTTCGGGTTTAGGGTTTACGGTTGAGGGTGGGCACCCTGAATTACACCTTCGAGCTGAAAACGAGACCCTATATTATAGTAATCTCTCGCATCATCTTACGTATGCTCCTAAACCCTAAACCCTAAACCCTAAACCCTGAACCCTAAACCCTATATTATAATAATCTCTCTCGCGTCATCTTACTAATTCGGGATCCTCGGCCTTTGACTCGGTTTTCCCAAGGAACATGCTGGAAGGAAGCATGAGAAGCGCCAAAACTTGTAGAGTAGACGCCCCAAACTCCAGGTCCTACACCCTAGACCAAAAAAACCTGAACCCAAAATGCTTGCTGCTTATCAAACCTTTAGAAACCCCATAGTATATAATATCTAAACCCTAAACCCTACACATCCCTACACCCTGACAGCCTCTGCAGCGGAGGTCAACAGCTCCTCCAAACTCGGGCGCCTGACTTTCCGGGCCTCCGGAAGGGTTCTTCAGGAAGGCTTTTTGGGTTTAGGTTTTAGGGTTTAGGGCTCTAGGGTTTTTGAGTTTAGAGTTTAAGGTTGAAGGGCTTCGGGTTTAGAGGTTAGGATCCTAGGTTTAAGATTTCAGACGCGTGTGGCGAGTGATCCATAGGAATTGCAGAGCTTGACAAGGGTCGTGGGTGTCGGGCTTTACCTGAGTGATTCTTGGGATTCATAGGGCTTTGTGCGGATTTTTTCGGGTTCACTTATGCTATGCCATATCGTGCTATCACTTCTTTTGCTAGCTTGTATGTTGTGCTATATGTATATTACTGTAAACAGCAGTATACTACAACATGCTATGCAACATTTGGCCGTTGTTGATGATGATTATGACTGATTATGAGCATCATGATTGTCATTACCGGATACTGTTGCTATGACTGTGCGTACTACAGTTGCTATTGCTATTCACTCTGCTTCTGTTTCGAACTTCACGAGCACTTCTGGGCTACAGGGCTTTGTGCCAGTCTACTGCTTTATCTCGGGTTAAGAGTACATACTCTTGTCGGTGCATACAGGATGGCGCGGGCTTGTTGCATACAAGCAGGTAGGACATGCATATTCGCATTCCCCCAACGGTATGGTAACACTACATAAGCACTGCAGCAGGATGTGGATCATATGTTCAGCATAGAGGGGTTACAGACCTGCTCTTCCCATAAGAACTCCCTCTGTCTGCTCTCACCACAATCGTGCTCCGGCCACAGAACAAGTCGGTCAGTCGGTCAGTCAGTCAGTGCGTCTGTCCGTTCGTCTGCCCGTCCGTCTGCCCGTCTGTCCACACATCCGTCAGTCAGTCACTGTCCACACATCCGTCAGTCAGTCAGTCAGTCAGCCAGTCAGTCAGTCAGTGAGTGCAGACTGGCTGTCTGTCTCTCTGTCTGCCTGTCCGACATGTCAACTCTTGCCATTGCAGCAGCTCACCAGCAAGTTCCCACAACGGCTCCGAAAGTTTCCCGTAGGGGTCCCAAGAAGAGCCCCTCTAGGGATTCCTAAAAACCTTACTACATGTGAGGTTTGGGGTTTACAGCTTTGGCCCAGCCACAAGAGCTTCTGTCCTACGGGACAGGGGGGTAGCAGGGGAGCTGGCGGAGCAAAACCCTAGACCATAGACCGAACTGCTGAAGCCTCAGGGAGTCTGAACCCCAAACACCAAAACCCTAAACCCAAAACCCTAAACCCTAAACCAAAACCTGTCCTCTTCACCGAATTGAGTCTCCGATTCGGCGGTTTGGGCTTTAGGGTTTCGGGTCTTTCGTGGTGTGAAGGCCGAACTAGACTTCAGCTTGGCGGCTTTAGCTTTGGGGTTGAGGGTTTAGGGTTTAAGGCATCGGGTTTAGGGTTTAGGGTTTAGGTTTTAGGGTAAAGGGGACAAGGGAGCAGGGAATCCACCCAAGCTTAAGCACCTGCTGCCGGGGAGCGGGGCCGCGTCGAACCAAGTTCTCGGCTGTCCCGATACACATAGCTGTCGGGCAGACTCGTCACTGTCCAGACAGATGAACGGAAACAAAACTTGAAACAAATCCTGAGCCCGAAATGGGGCGGCAGACATCAAACCGAACCCTACATCTGGAAGCTCACTTGCCCTAACCCTACGCCTTTGCAGGTGCTTTGGCAAACTGCTTCGGGGTCCAAGCTTACATGGAGGATCATGGGACTTAGTAAGTAGGGTTACAAGTACCTTAATTGGGGTTATAAGCAATTATAAGTAAAGTTACCTTAATTCTCACCCTAGTTACAAAGCCCCATGATCCTTTAAGTAGGGAGTCTCGAGTTTAGGGTTTTGGGGAGTAGGGCGCTAGGGCTTACAACTGCTATTTGCCCTGTCTCCGGCAACTTGCAAAAAAATGATCTTCTAGGCGTTACTCGCAATGGTATTCCGAACGGCCGCAAAACTATGTATCCACGAAAGAACTACAACTATCTTGCTGTTCCCTGCCAGAGGCTTTGAATACTCTGAGCTTCTCCGGCTTGCGAGGGCTCGAGCTTGTTTCCCAAGTCTTCCTCTTCTTTACCAAAACACCGACTGCTTCCTCGTCCACCTGTTCGCCCCTTGATCTTCTTGCTGTCTTTAGCACTCTTGCTGATTTCACTGCGCAGATTACAGACATGTCATGTCTCTCAGTACCCTTGTTACTGTCTCTCTTTCTCTCGCCTCTCGTACCCACTCTCTCTCTCTCACTCTCTCGTGCTTTGAATGAGCCCTCTGCTCCCTCGCTGTTGCGACGCTCTGGTGTTGTTAGCCCCATGTCCACCCTCATCGGCCGGAGTGCGAAGACAGAAACACCCGTACCCTTCACCCAACCTCTACCCCATCAAGAGCAAAGTTGGGGTCCTCAAAACACAACATCCACTATCGCAATAACATCACGAGCTCAGCAGCCAGGACCAAAGACAACAACTGCAACAACGACAACAACAACAGCACATCTTCATATCAAGAGCTAACTGCCATTGCGACTATCCTCGCCCCTAAACTTTCCACATACCAAACCCAAAACTGCAACCCTGCACCCTAACCAAACCCCTGTTTAGAACCCTTAAGGAAGCCTTTCAGAACTCTATAGAACCCGTATACAAGCCCTTATAGAGCCCTTATACAAACCTTCTAAACGCCTGAAATCGACTCGTCTGGTGGCCCGGACGCGGTCTGCCCAGCACGACGGGCTCGACGTCCTCCTGTGAAAAGGCGGATCGGCGTATGGTTTAGGCTCTTACGGTTTAGAGTTTAGAGGTTAGCCCTAAACCCTAAAGGTTTAATTAGTAGTTTAGGGCTTGGGGTTTAGGATTTATAACGTAGGGCTTCGCATTTGGGGTTTACGCCCACAGTGCAGAGATGTCCAGAGTAATCATATAGGAATGTATGTATGCACTTACAAACAGCAAGCACCGAGCCATGTGTATATACTCGTTCTGTGTGAATATATATATATATATATATACAGAGGGAGAGCGATAGAGACAGAGAGGTAGAAAACAAGAAAAAGATGATGACCTAAACGGATTAAAACTAACCCTAAACCCAAAACCCGGCTTATGGTTTAGGGTCTTTGACATTTGGAGCTTGGGGGGTTCAGGCTCCAGTCTCAGACTCAGTACTCAGGGCCCGGAATGAAAGCCTAAACCCTAAGCCCCTACATAGAACCCTTCTAGAAGCCCTATAGAAACCCTAAACCCTGTAGAACCCCATAGAACCCTTTTACAAACCCGTGTAGAACAGTGCATGCTCGTAGATTCGGCACGGTGTCCCTCCCGCGAAGTTGGGGGGTGGAAGGCGTAGGGCTAGGTCGCAGGGCTGCGCGAGTTTCGGGGTGTGGGTAGGTTTAGGGTTTAGGGTTTGGGGTTTAGGGTTTGGGGTTTAGGGTTTAGGGTTTAGGGTTTAGGGTTTAGGGTTTAGGGTTTAGGGTTTAGGGTATCAAAGAGAGAAGGGCTCCAGTTGCCTGAAGATTGGGGGTTTAGGGTTTAGGGCTTAGGGCTTGGGGTTTAGGGTTTAGGGCTTAGGGCTTAGGGTTTAGGGTTTAGGGTCTTGGGCTAGTGGATTACATACGGCATGATTAGTAACCCACTATTTCGGCTACTGGAGCCCTAAGGAGGAAGCCAAGTGAAGATGTGTTCCCGACCCAACTGGCAGGAGAACAAATGTGTCCGGCAGCACAGGCAGTCAAAACCTGCTGCAAGCAAAAAGGAAGACTCTCAATGTGGCTTCCCTGTCCGACAAAGTCCACCTTGATCCCAACAAACCCAGACCCCACTGTTTACGGCTTGGGCTGAAAAGGCAAAACCTTGCAAAGAAACACAGCGACTTGGAAGCGAATCTCCCGGAGAGCCGGGGCCTTGCCTGATGGGCCCCGCGCTCCAGCACACACTGCGGTAGCTCTACCGGAGTCGCCTCGTCGGGTCGCAGGGTTTACATGTAACCGAAAATACCTACCTTCTCAAGGTTCCTTTTGATGGCTCCATGTATAGTTGGTTAAAACAGGTAAGCTTTCTTGGACCACGGGTCGGGTTTAGAGTCATAGAGGTAAGGTACTGTGAGGTTCGGAAAAAGTTGTCGAAGGGTGAGGGTCGCCTAAGGGGCTTCTGGAGCGAACAGCGCGGGATTTCCACATGGATTTTGGGCGATAAACGAGTGCTGGACCCTTCTTCCTGTTTCAGTTATACAGCTGTATTTTCCGTTTTGCACACCTTGGTGTACAGAAGCGCAATGCTCTCGGCCCAGGGCATCAAAATTATGGGATGAATGCATCCTCGCACCGTTGATGCTCGTCTGCTTCGGATCATCCGTTCGTGTTACATCCCTGACCGTTGTGCCTTCCAAGTTTACGGTATAAGAGCCCAACTGGACCCTGAGAAACTTGCCCTTTTGGGAACTTACAGAGGAAATCATATTCAGGAAGACTAAAAAGGTGGAATTCATGGCGGGCCTTTAGCAACATTCGGATTACTACTTCCAGGCTCTTGTGGCAAAGGCGGAAGCAGAACAGTGATCCCCTGATTCTTCCTGCTCCTGCTGCACTGCTCCTCCTGCTGCTGCTGCTACAGCCACCACCACCACCACCACCGTCGCCGGCAGGACCATCTCCACCACTTGTTAATGAGACAAGTACAGTCGACCAGCTTTCCTACATGGTTGAGGAGTTCGGGGACTAGGGTTCAGGAGATCTGGGATTGCGTAATCAAGGCGGTGAAAACCGATATCGCAGAGAAACGGGAAGTGGAAGGATTCAAGCGAGCTGAAGACAACGAAATACCATGGTTCGCTCACCACGACACGCCTTAAAGTCAAGGCTCAAAAAAAATGGGAAACAAGTCGAGGCGCAGGGCTGAAAACCCTCCTCCAAGCCAATACCCTTTCCATGCAGGAAGGTGCCTTGAACTCAACAAAACCTCTCAACATGAATGCTGAATGCAGATAATGTGTCACCCCGAAAAGAAAAACCTTCATAAGCCCTAAACCCTAGACCCTCAAGCCGAAATTCTTACAAACCCTACGTCAACCCGCGGCTCCTCCAAGTCCTCCACCGGCGCGTAGCGCGCCGCCTCAGGAAAGTTTCGAAGCTTTGGGCTCACGGCACAGGGCGTAGGGTCCAGGGTGCAGTGTCGATTTGAACGCTTCGACTTTCAGGTTCTAGTGTGCACACAGGGTTGAGGGTTGTGTGTGCATGTCAGGTTTAGGTCCCCCTTGCAGTTTAATCTCTAGGTTTTCGCAGTTTGGGGCCCAGTTGCTGAAGGGTCTGCGGACACACTCCGGGATACGGCTCTAGGCGTGTAGCATCTCAAGATTCGGCATTAAGTTTAGGTTTAGGGTTCGGGTCTTTGGGTTTTTAGGCTTTCGCTTCGGGCTTAGGATGTCCAGGAATTGAAGCTGGTGTCTGGAGTTGATATTCAGGATAGCCTGGGCAAGCGACAGCGCCTGAATTGAGCTTGCTGGGCCAGCTCTAAGGACCTAAAAGACATGTTCAGTGCAGGGTTTAGGGTTTCTTAAGCTGGAAATTGTCTTTCGGATTTTTTGGGTCACTGCGGATACATGCAGCAAAAAGCCCTGAAAACAACTGCTGTCGTCCAGAGGCCTGTATGCGCAACACACACACACAGCAAAACGGTTTACCCGAGCCATGACCCCTCAAAGCAAATCAAACTTGTTTGCATTTGGCCTCCGGCAAACCCGAAACCCTAAACCCTACTGAGGCGCCAACTCGACTCATCTTGAACCTTTCACCCTCATGGCATGATAGTGAAGGCTGCACGCCGTTGTAACTAGGGGGTGGGATTGTTCAGTTGCCCTTCATGTTACAAAACATGTTACTCGAACCCCGGACTGCACAGCATAAGCAACGTGCTGCAACTTATACGATTTCAACCCCTCGAATTTTGTCGGTCTGTTCTCTCGCGGGCCATCCGCCGAAGAGTGCCCGAATGATACTTCCATGTGTTTGACATGTGTGTCTGCATGGAGCAAACGGCATTTGCATTGCCGCACTCTGCTCAACGAATGTCATGCGAGACTCTATCATGTGGTGTCGCGTGCTTTGTCGGTTTGTTGGCTCTCAAAACTAGAAGCTGTGGAACTTTGCTACATTGAATAAGCTCCCTCGCCTATTTGAACAACACCCAAACTCGAAGAACTCTGTGATTTAGATGCGAACCAAGGCAGCACACATCAAAATCATCAACAAAATGGCCGTTGCACGACTTCCACAAGGTTTTGGCAAACAGTGACAAGATGGCATGTGGTTTGTGCAACTTGCATGCAAACGAATTTTTGCCCAAACTCTCACGTGTTGTTCGAAGACAGCAAAGGCTTTCACCTGTTGTGCACAGATCCCTGCTATGCACACCTTTTTTCCAACTGCTGTCGCATCGGTGGCGTGTTCTGCGATTTCGGAATCTACTCGGATTCAAATCAAGGCTCGATAGAATGTCGTAAAGACATGTTCTCTCGATGTTAGGAGGACCGGCCGTT